ACCTCCTCCAGGCGTACTTGAGCTCTCACTCTTCCCAGCTCCTCCTCTGCCTGGGCCCTCTCTGTCACACATGCTGCTTTAGCTTTACTCAGCTCCTACAACAAACAGACAATGTATTATTAGGACTGACAACATTAGGAACACAACTGGACTACAGATGTCAGGTACTGCAGGAGACTATTTCACTGTGATTTATTCTGTAGACATGATCCCAGATTACAAGGAAACTATGTTGGATACTATGTATAGATTATAGTTGATGTAAATGTGTCCCCACACTATACTCCACCTACTTTGCAGACAATTTTGTAATTATAATCATTAGCATTTAAGTGTTCCATGTTCCAATTTCAACTAAATTTTCATGTGGGAACTGGGAAATTTCCAGATGGCAACGAGATGTCAACTTGGAAACAGCTGTTCATGAGAACCTAATTCAAATGAAAACCACTGCATCAGAAACAAAAAACAACACACATAAAAGCGGATTATTAAATATCATGTTGCAATACGGGGGCACTGAAATCTTACTGCGTGGAGTTTGCATGTTCTCCCCATGCAGCGTGGGCTCTCTTCGGGTTGCTCTTCCTCCCACACAGTCCAAAAACATGCTGAGGTTAACTGGTGATTCTAAATTGTCCGTAGGTGTGAATGTGAGTGTTCTTGGTTGTGTGTCTGTAAGCGTGGCCCTGTGATAGACTGGCGACCTGTCCAGGGTGTCCCCTGCCTTCACCCTAAATCGGCTGGGATAGGCTCCAGCCCCCACGACCCTAGTGAGGATTAAGCGGTGTATCGATAATGGATGGATGGATGCTACAATATTATACAATTATACTATAATCTACAATATTATAGTGGGTGACTTTAATACCTATACAGATTTTGCTTTGAAAACACTTTTTGTACATCATTATGTATAATTTATTGCATAGTTTGCTGCCTTCAGCTTTGGTCTACACTAGAAAACAATAAAAATATTGGTATGCTGAACAGTGAAGCTGCAGAGACATTCATGTGTTTGTTTTTTCAGGAATCTCTGTGTTACAAATTACCATCTGGGATGTTGGATTCTGACTGTGTTTTTCTGTTTTAAATGTGGATAGTTCTCTTACCTCCTCCAGTTGAATCCGCTGTCCCTCCAGTTTGAAGATGCGGTCTTGCAGAGCTCTCTCACTCTCTTCGAGATGACGATTAACATGATCCACCTTCATGGGAATGTAAAGTTTTAGTATTTTACGTTGTTACAATAAATAAAAGAAAATCAAAATAAGAACTAACCAATCTAAAAGTAGCAAAACAAGCCTGACAGCTCCTCCAAACCTCTCATTTAACATGTTACATCTGTTTTGTTTAATCTACTTGAAAGCTGAAGTGTAAAGAACAACATGTTGTGGTTTAATCGGTGCTTGTGTGGTCGATGAACATGTATGACATAAAGAAAGAGAACCTCTTTCTGCCGGAGACTGTCCATGTCCTCCAGGGCCTGTTTGGACCTTCGCTTCTCTATTTCCAGGCGGTCTGTCAGATACACAAGACACAGGATAACTCTGCTAGGCTTCACGTGAGAAAATGAAAATTGCATTATCTTTGTGTTTCCGTAGGTAAAATTGTGTCACCTTCTGCCTGTGTTAGTCGAAGCTTGAATTCAGCTGTGCAGTTGGTCAGCTCTTGCTTCAGCTCAAAGATCTGCTGCTGCTGAGACTTACACCTGCGTTCCATCTCCTCCACCTAACACACACACAGTCGCTCAGTTCACACCTGACAGGGCTCACAATGCATCTTGTGTGTATGTGTTTCTCATATTTAGTGTAAATACTTCAGTGCAAATAATAAATTCACTCTGTTCTGAACAAACAGAACTCGTACTTTTGTCCTAAATTGGCCACTGGTTTCTGTCAGGTTCTGGATCTCTCTGAGGAGCTTTCCCTCTCTGAGTGCTCCGTCCTACAGGATGGAAACAGACAAGATTCATTCATTTGTGACAGCAATGCAGTATCTCAGCAAGTATCAATAGCTTTCTTTTTGTGCTTGTCAACTTGTCATAAGGTGCAACTGTTGTTCAGACTTTTGTTTTTCAGGTTCCTGAGCAGATTGGAGCTGGAAACAGACCAGCAGTTGTTATCATATAAGGTCATTTCTGACACTGGTGCAATCCTCTTACATTTCAGTCAATCACATGCCTATAATTGTTAAACTAACAAAACAAACAACAGCTCTGATTTAGCCAGTTATCTACAGCAACAGTGATGTCAAAATAATGCTGCTGTATATACATATAGTGCACAAACACAGAGAGTCACATTTCTTTTTATTTATTTAAATTAACAAGGCCAGAGTAAAGATATCAGACGAACAATCTGACTGCAGCTAGAAAACTGTGACTCTGTCTGTCAGGTACAAAAACACCAGTTTGTCTCTTCTTGACAATTACAAATAATTATTAAAGTTGCAGATCTTCTGCCATCTGCCAACAGGTACACAACTTTCTGTCTTTGGAAACATTATTATGGATCCTACTGCAGTCTGATGCTGTAGGTATGCAACAAACTCAGAGGAAAGACAACAAACTACACTTAAAACTAAATCGGAATTACATTCAGTCTTTGTGAGTCTCATCTTATCTTAGTGAAGTTTAATTTTAAGGACCTTTCAGTTTTGAATACATGTGAAATTGTAGAGCAAGTGAATGAAGTAACAGCACACATTAAAAAGTGTTTTTTGAGAGGTCTGTAGCTGTGTCTCCTACAACACAATCGGTGTCTTTTACACTGTCTGTATGTAGAAACGCAGAGTATGATGTCCAAACTCCATTATGAGTGAAGGGAAAGCCTTTTTTGGTTTTTGGTTGAAAAAGGAGGGGCTTTAGGGCATCTTTACTTGCATCAGACGACAAAAGATTCTTTCAAGTATTGTGACTGCAACACTTTGGGTGTACTAGGGAAAACATTACACAGAAATGCATCTAATAACTAACAGCTGGGGTTACACATGATCCTGTGACGTTCTTTGTAGAAAACAGCCAATTAAAAATGGCATTTTACTCAAAAGGGGTAAATATAATTTGTTAACCTAATGTGAAAGCTTTTCTTACCCCCTAATAATCTGAAACACACCAAAAAATCAGATTAGTACAAATCAGAATGAGTTTGAGGAGAAATTACCCATTTGTCTATACCTCTTGGTCTTTCTTCCTCTCTCTGCTCTGTCGTTCTCTTTGTTCTTCTTTCTCAGCCTTCACTCGAGACAGTAGTTCTCCCATATTATGGTTTTTCTGCTCAGAGAGGGCGAGAGCAGCTTCTGTCATCTGCAACCTGCACAACACAGAGTGTGATCACAGTTACTGCTAGAATCACGCTGATAACTCAGTCAGCTGACAGAAAACTAATCCAAAGCTATCTTGATAAATGCATAAATATTTTTGTCATTTAAAAGCAAAAATTACAGATATTTGTTGGTTCCAACTTTGCTAATGTGAGTGCTTGATATTTTTCTTTGTCATCTATGACAGTACACTGAATCACCTTGTGTTTTAGACTGTTGGTTCAACAAAACCAGACATGTGACAACGTCACCTTTGGTGTTCACATTTTTCTGCTATTTTACAAGCAAAACACTTTAGGTAATACTGATAATTTGAAGGTGCATCCTGCGTTAGCATTTACTCTTTTGCTACAACAGTATTAATGTTTTGCACAGATTCTGCTTCATCACTGGGAGAACATACCAGGAAAGGTAAGAAATGATTTAAGTGTCTAAGTGTCAGTAGCCCAAATTACTCAGCTGCAACTGCAAACAACTGGCTCATGGACTTGCTGCTAAGCTCATGGAGAAGGGAAAACTGTCCTAAAGGGTTCATCCCCTGCAGCACAGACAACTCTTTAGATCTTGGCACAATGGCCCGCACACCTAAATAGTTAAAAGATCAGCAGACCTTCGATGTCACAGATTCCATTTGTTACTACCTGAAGAGGTTCTAATCACTGGCACCTCACCTGGACCCACTGATTCCAATCAGATGGATCTGAAGGTGTGATAAATGCAGGACTGTACTGACTTATTTACATAAGACTGATCAGGTTTATAATATCTTCAAATTACTGAAATGACTACAAAAAGTACATTTTATGTGTCACATGTTTGAGTATTTTACCGTTATTAATAGACACGTCTTCGAACAGAATCCAGTGTTTTCTTATTCAAATATGTCAATAAAGGAAACCATTTTTATGGCATGTACTTTTTTACAAGACTGTCTAATAAACATGGAATGAAGCAAAATGAAAAGATTACTTTGCAGTGAGAGAGTTGACAGCTGACTTTCTCTCATTCAGAGCTTCCTGGAGTTGACCAATCTGGATGAAAGTTGACCTGCAAGAAACAGAAAAAAAGATCATCGAAGAGCATGCAGAGTGATTATTATACATATTTACAAAGTGAAAACATGCTGCCAATACATTCTTTATCTTTCAGGGTCTATTGCTTTAAAAGAGGAATTATTTATCCCTATAGACTGGTGTTCAGACTGTGTCTCATGATTATACAACTATGGTTATAACCAATGACAGTACACTGTCTGATCTGAACTCACCGACTGGAGCGCCCCATCTCCTCCTTCTGCCTGTCGATGGTGTCCATCAAGCTTAGGAACTGAAAGATGGAAGGAACAACTAACATCACGGCTACAAGGTAAGCTATGCGGCACAACTGATTTGAGAAGTTTCTTTGGACATTTTGATACTTTTCTTCCACAAGTGGGCCGTGTTGGAATTCATCCTAACTGACTTGGCTCATCACAGGCTAATCACACCTGACATCAAACTTTTCACAGACATCCCAAGGGCCCAGCCATGAATACTTGACCTTTAAATGTAACACCATCAATGTTTAAATCAAGTGTTAACTTTGAAGTTTCTCGTATCATCTGGAAATAGCAGTATGCATCTATTATCTTCTGGCAAAGCAAAGCAACAACTATAAAACTGAGAAAACAATCATTCTTTTAGATTAATATAAGCTGTCCCACTGATGGATAATTCAAAAGAGTTTAGGTATTTTGGTAGGGGAAACTTGATTTAACCAGTGATGCAAGATGACATCACCAAAGCTGTCCAGTCAATGAGTTGGTCTACATCAGTCCATGTGTCTTTGTGTTTCTTGGTTTTTTTTGCAAAAAGCATGCATATATTAGGGAGAACTGAATACCAGATACAAAGATGGCATCTGCTCATTTGAACGAAACTCGCTCGTCTGCATGAGCCAAAACCGTGGCCCAGTTACCAGGTCTGCTTGCATGAACACAAGCCAGATCAAAACTAAAAGGCGACGACGCATGTTCTTTTTCCACGGTCCACACCAAATGCACCCAACTACAGGTGTGACATCACAGTAAGACAATCAAGATTATTAAATCGTTTAGCGTGAGGCTCACCTGTCGGCCCTTCTCCTCCTTCAGTGTTTGAATCTCTTTGCTGAGGACCTGGGTCCTGCTGCGGCTCTCTCTCAGAGTGGACTGTGTGTCTGAGTTGTGCCCTATAGTCTGCTCTGAAAGGGTTAAACAACAGGACCAAAGAGTCCAGCGGGGACAGTGAGCATGTCCACGGCAGGCTATTAGTCTTCCAGCAATGACAGAACTAAAATATAAGTAAATTAAAGTCATATACAGTTCAAATCACAGGCTGAATATTAATAATTACTGTCTGCACACAAAAGCACTTACCCTATTGTATCTTATCTTATCTTTCAGACATGCGCGCCTTTCTGTTAATCTGACAGCAAGTGAATGTGCTGGCTTTGTGTCTGAATGAGCACCGGGTTCACTTTTAAGTAAACGTTTGTTGTCACATTAACAGAAAGGCAGGCACAATATTATGATGTACTTCAAGTTGTGTGAAATTATTTGGAAAGGTATTTTTCCACTGATATTTACAATATTGATTGATATAGACAATTTGATATGCTGCAGCTCAGTGTAGATTTTGTCTTTTCTGTTTTGTTGCCTTATACATCACTGAATGTACTGTCCAATTTCACATATATGACAAATACTGGGCGTGTACCGTGGATCTGTCTCTTGTGGCAGCTATGTCTGAATGAAGCATGACAAACACACATTTAAAAGTGACTTATGTCTGAATTACAAAATGCCACATCACTTCAACAGATTTATGAAGCCAGTAGTGTTGCAAATCTAAAACTTGAAAATGCCTTAGGACTTACCAAGAGCTTTAAGTGTATCACTGGGTATATTGTTCCCTGCCATCTCCAGCTGCACTATGCTCTTGTTTTTCTGAAGAGCATCGAGCAGGGACCTGCCACCCAGCAGACCAATGTTGTTCCACCTTAGATCTGTGAACGGTGTCAGCGTGGACCATTAGCCAGTCAGAAAAACACATCAGAACAGTAAACATGTTAGTCTGACAGCAAATGACAAAAACCTTTTCCACATCAGCAAAAACTATAATCAGCCACTATTAGCAAAAGAGCAGTGCATGAGTGTACTCTTCTCTGTTGTGGAGGAGATGAACTAAAGAATAGAGCTATAGAGAGAAACAGCAACAAAAAACCAAACTTTAACATAAACTAAGACATAAGTTCAAAGCATGGTTGGTTGATATCGGAAGATAAAATGAGAAAGAAGCAACATTTTAAGTAGATTTGCTTCCTTTACCATGAAGATGGATTTTAAATGTGAAGATAATTTGTTGAGTTGAGTAATTTTTACCCTCTAATATGGAATTCGGATTTTCAAACCGTTGTGTTAATATAAACAGGAACTGTCCAAAAGTGATTCTCAAGTGCATCTGACTTATTTTCCTTTTGTTTTCTTTCTGAGAAATTCTATCACTGTGGTAACATACAAACTTCACCCAGTTCCACATGGGGTTTTTGTATGAACTCTGGTGAGAAACCCAGTTTTTACGGCACCATTGCATTAAAAACTGTTCTGACAAAAAGGGAAGAAAAAAAGCAGGAGCATTGTGCCAAATAACATTAAGCAGATTCCCAAAACCCTATCGACAAGCTAATATTTAAATTCATGGTATGTCACCTAACACTTCCAGGGTGTGGTTGCATTTGAGTGCCAGAGCGAGCTCAGATGCTCCATGGTGGTTGATCTGGTTGTTGCGCAGGTCCAGCTGTGTCAGCGACGTGTTGGAGGCCAAACCATCGCAGAAGAGTGAGAAGGCTTCATCCCACACCCCAAGTGCATTCCACTCCAACACCAGGCTGTAAACATAGTTCAGTAGTTTTCAGATTTGTTGAGAAAGAATATATTTCATGTGTTTGGGACACTCTTCTGCAGGAGTGTTTCAATGATCAGCTTTATGTGCTGATCAACAATCTGTTCTCAGATGATACAGAGATGAGTGACTTATTAGCTGACTGCTAAATATAAAGTAGCATTCAGCTTTGTTTGATACATTTTTTGGTCTGTCAAAACTATGATCATTTCAGACTAAAACAGAGGATTTAGGCCTTTTAAAATGAATGTAGCAAATATTCTGAATGCAATGATTGGTGGGCTAATGCAGGTCGCAGGGTAATAACGGAGCATTTCAACCAGTGTACACCATAATTACATCACAATATTCAATTTTAAAGCAGGTTGATTTCCGAAGTGAGCTAGCTGACCTGCACAAAATTCCAATGTTGTGCCGATAAAAAAGCATTTTATTTTACAATGACACATTAGGAGGCCCTCTAGATTTGAGAGTAAAGCCCTCAACAACTTTATCCAGCCATGGCTGCGCTACGCAACACATAAGTGAACAACACATAAGTGAACAACTGAGGCATTCTTATTATCTTAATTGTTAAACACAATAAAATTATCTGCATTGTGTACTGTGTGAACAGACACACAGTTTCCCTGAGTGGCTCTTGTATGTGTAGTTCATGGCCAACTTGGCAGATGTGTCTTCACTTTTCAGCAGGTAACTCCACTAAATTGCCTAAATCAAGCTATCATCCTAATATCATATTATTTAAAAAATATGAATATGAATATTTTTATCTATCAAAACTCTGCAAATATATTTTTGGATTTCAATTGTAACAATATTAAATTTGTTCATTCTTGAAACTCAGAAACAGCAGCGTGACAAAATATTAATTTGAGAGCCAATATCTAGCTTTTTCTAAGCTTTCAACCACATCTCAGGATCTTTATCAGTGGATACAAACGGTTGTATTGTAATGGAAAGGTTCCTAACTTAGATCATGTGATGACAACTGAGAAAACTCCTCTGAAGAAGATGTCCAGATTATTTTCATAAAAAATACACATGGTGTTGCAGTGGCAGAAAATATTGTCATATGAAGATCATCATTCTCACCGACGCAGAGTCTTGTTATGTGCCAACAACTTTCCCAACATCTCAGCTCCTGTTGACCTCAGATTATTACCCTGTAAACAATCATCTGCATTAACTCACAGATAATTACACACATCATATAAAACTAATTCTATCAACGTCTGAGTGTTTAGTGTGTGAACAGTCAAATCTAACAGGTGTTACCTTTAGACTGAGGACTTTTACTGTTGTGTTGCCAAACATTCCAGTCAGGAGTATCTTGGCACCTGAGAGTCACACACAAGCAATTAAGCAGTTTAAAGTTGATGTTATACTTATTGTTTTTAAAGCCTATGTGCAGAACCAAACCAAATGAATCCATCTACTAACAAGCACTGCTGTATGAATGCTTAATTTAAACCTGCACAAAGTTTATACAATTGCTACAAACAGCAACACTCAAAGGTGCGGTTTAGATACTGTTTGACTGTTGATCCAATACGCACTTCTAATGAGGAGTCCGTGATATAGATGTAAAGCATCAGTACAATGTGTGCTGTCAGTGGTTAAATCTGTTGTTTACAGACACATGTCTGTGCACTATGTCTTTCGGTCAGTTTTTCTTATGTTTGCGACATAACGTACAGAAAAACAGACTGTTACTGTCTTGGTTTGGGTATTTAAATGGGATTTAATGATTAAAAAAATAAGTACAAACCTGCTATATTCTTTAAAAGTTTCAAATACAGACTATTTAAACTATTTTGTGGGTTTGCAGCAGCAGCTACAGGAAGACTCTAGTAGATTGTTTTATCATTCACAATGATACAGATGGAACAAAGAAAAATAAGTATTGAGGATATGTTCACATGTATATGTATGATGACTGTCACCTACTGAGCAACATGCACTTACACATACAGTACCATTCACCAAGTTACATACTGTATAGCCTGTCTGTTTTGAAAATGCACACACCTTCCTCGCTGAGCATGCAGTCACTGAGCAACACCTCTGTGAAGACAGTGTGTTTCTGGAAGGCCCTGGCCAGCACAGAGCAGGTATCTGCAGAGAGACTCTGTCCACTGAGGTCCAGTCTGGAGCCCTGAGCAGCACTGCTATCCTGGAGCTGAGCCACAATACTCTCCTGAGGCTCCAGGCCTCCCTCCTTACACAGACGCACGTATGTCCTCCTGAAGTCCTCCATTCTGGGTCACCACAATTCTACCATCAAGTTTTCTGGACTTCTTCCTTCCGTACCTGGGGACTTGTTCCCTTAACTGGACAAACAAAGGTGGAATTTACTAACGTAGGCCTGAAATGACTACATTGATAATTGATTAATTATTCAAGTCATCTTTAAATTAAAGAAGTCAAATAGTCCCGTGTTCTAGCTTCCAAACTGCAAGATTTTTTTATAGATTTAATTTCTTGTGTTGTGATGGTAAACTCAACATTTATTGTTTTTTTTTACAGTTCTAATGAGTCCTTGTGACAAATTATGTGCAAAGAAAAGCTAAGATAAAATCAAACACCTGACTTAAATGAACCTAATAAATCAGCTGGCAATAAAGCCATTAATTGCATGAACAAAACACTAGTAGGTTTTTCAACACTTAGCCTGTATATTAAATCTGAAGGCTGCTTATGTACAGGCTGCATGTATACTCATTTATAGATGTATATGTATAGGGTACTATCAGAAATATAGAAAATAGAGGCACGTGGATTTAGGTAGAACATTTCTGGTCAATGTTTGCTGTTGTGCTGTTAACTATATTGTAGCTATAATCCTTCTGCTGACGTAACTTAGATTGGAAAATATTTTATGTAGCATGAGCCTAGATGTTTGGACAAAAACCATATGAGTTCAACTACACTGCATATTATTACATGTGTAGCACTACATCCTACCAATGTGGAATTTATTGAAATTATTATTGTTTTAAGCAGATTTTCTGTAAGCTTCGTGTCTTGACTGACAGTGGGTAACACAGTCAACTCATGGCAGCAGCCAGAGTCAGTGGTAAAATGGTAAAATCTCGGCAGTTAGCCTGTCCTGAACCAGACTAGTTTCCCATCATCAGTTGCCAGAGTAACTGAACGAGTACTACGTTTGTGCTATTTGATTTACGAAACGAAACAACCGCACAATTAGTCAGACGAACTAAAATAAACTCGCTTTATGCATGTAACTGCATCTCAGACAGGTGACCTCCCCTGCCCCACACTGCATCACACTCCACAAAAGTTGCAGAAATGAAGACTGCATCGTGATTACCATAAATCCACACACACCGTAACACTGAAAGGAAAATTCAACGCCACCAGGGAGCACATTTCAAGAGATTTAACAGATTTACGAGTTATTTGAGTTTGGCAGAAACACGCAGAGACACAAAAACATGGCATTTAGTGAAAATATTGTGCGGTGAAATCGTGTACAGAATCTCAATATATCATCTGATGATTTAACGAAAGTATTGTCTTGTATTTTACAAAGTAATGCAGACTGTAAAGGGAAAGTTGAAACTTCATTGCCGCGTTTAATTGAAAGTGAAGCGTAGAGCTTCCGTAATACATCCTGTCTGCAGCTAAATAGTTAACCGACGAGCAAACTCGGTATTCTTGCAAGTTTTCCGAGGAATAATGATGGTATCGTTAGAAAAAAAAGACTAACAGACCTCGGTGATACAACTCAATGTGTTGCTGGCAGTTATTGTTGTTGTAGCGAGCCCAGCTGGCAGAAACAGGAAGAGGAAACAAAGTAACCAGGAAGCGGCCGCAAAGCATCTTGGTCAGTGTAGTTTCGAAAACTTTCTTTCCTGTTTAAGGACAACAAGTCGATGGCTGAAGGTCCACTTAAACCTGGTCATAGAATTAAAGGACGCCCTGTGATTATCAGTGCCATATCTATTTGGGCTTTGAGTATTCTATAGATATATGTGAGATACGCTTTCAATATTTGAACCAGCAGGTGGCGGTAAATAAGCAAACCAACAGTTGGCTTCGCTGCAGTTTGTAACGAAAGAAGAAGAAGAGCATCAGCCGAAAACAAGCATGGCTGGAAAGCTCACCAACACTGTGTCTCCGGTCACTAGTTCTCTGTCCAGACTACAGTCTCTAAACGGACTGTTTGCGGTGTACAAGAAACAAGGGCCGACTTCTGCAGACGTGCTAAACGCACTCAAAGAGGCCTTGCTCATAGGTAAAGGAGCCGAAGCAGCACGGACTCAGTGCACTGTTGGTCAGAAGCTAACAGTGAGAGATGTGTTTGTGTCACTTTGTCTTTCAGAAGCGGGAGTTCAAAACCCGAACCCGAGGAAGAGGAAGAAGCAGAGCCTGAAGATGGGCCACGGAGGGACTCTGGACAGCGCAGCCAGCGGAGTGTTGGGTAGGAGCAGGCTGCTGGGGGACTCAGTACAGTACAGGCTGATGGTAGACATCAACTGCATTAGTATCCAGGCAAAGCATGGTTCTACCCAGGGACCCATCTGCTCCAGGTTTTCACCAAGTCATGTCAGTCTAATTCAGTCAATTATGAGTTTTAGATTTTTTGAATCAAAGCATCACCTGTGACAGTTCCTCCATCATTTTTAGATGACAACCCTATCAGGTGCACTTTACCAATACTTGTGGCCGTCCTGTAGAGAAAACCTCAGTCAAAAGTATTTTTCTGATCTGAATTGTTTTATTTTGCAGAAGCAGTCAAAAGTTTTCTGTACTTTAGAAGTTTCACAGTGTCGATGAAACTGTGTCCAAACTTCTGGTACTGTATTCAGATTGCTTTAGTTGTCCAACCAACAGTCAGAAACCCAACAATACTCGGTTTGCTATCAAAGGGAACTGGAAAATCATAAAAGATACTCCCGTTAAGCTGATAAGAGAGTTTTTATTTCTTTGTTGAGTAGGTTTGAGATCAGGTGACTGTAGAGAAATGTCCATGACTGTCAGAACTTCTCTTGTCTTAAAGCTTTAAGGTTTGTTATGGCTCATTGTTCTGCTGCAGTATGAATCCTTCTCCACGAAGATGCAGATCAGAGAGTGGACCATGTCATGGAGGTCTCATAGAGTGCTAGGTCTCCTTGGTCAAGGTGGAGTCGATTCAGTGCAGGTGTCCAACTTCAAAGTAGGCAAAACCTTCGTAGACTTGATTATTTCCAGCTGCGTGTTTCACCCTGGGTTTAGTCCACTGCAGTGTCATTATCTCTCCTGTTGGTCTCTTTACATACACCCCTATTTTACTGCCACCAATCTCTGCCTGGGGCTCGGCAGTAAATAGGACTTTATTTCATCATGATGTGGTGAAATGCTGCCATGGCTTAGCCCACTCGCCAGTTTTCTTGCCCTCGTTTCCCCTCAGAAGTGGTTTAGAGATGCTATTCGTCTATGAGACAGCCTACTTTTTTCAGGACTCCTGCAAATTGCCATCTTGTGTTCTTTATGTAGCATGTTCTTTATTTGTGGTGAAGTTACTTTCCTATCTATCAGTGAACAAAGCTTGATATATTGATTTGATGGTATGCTTACTTTTGGTCTGCCCAATCCTGCTTTGTATAAAACAGATTTTTCCACAAAGTATTTTACAGTGCCATGTACTGCCCCTTTAGAAACCTGCAGTCCAGTCTTGATGTAACCCTCAGAAAGCCCCTCTTTACTCAAAAAAACAATCTGACTTCTGACACTCTCACTTGGTTCTGGTGCCATGTTTCCTACTGTGATAGTGCCTCGTGGTGCGCAATCGTCTGTAGAGATGCTATACCAGAATCATCAAATGTTCATGTTTTTATTTTGAGGTGTAATAAACACTGCGACCTCTGAGGAGTGTTAGCAGGACTGTAGCCATTAGACTCTAACACTGTCTCTGTTTCTTTCAGTTGTTGGTGTTGGGAATGGCACAAAAATGCTCAGTACAATGTTGACTGGTTCAAAGGTGAGTTTGATGTTAAAGAGTGTTATGGTTACAAAACTGTGAAACTGTTACGCATAGAAGGAAAGTCAATGTGTTCAAATCACCTCGGCATGGTATAGACAACAGTACACAAATCTGTTGAACGCTGTGATTCACAATGCATCAATATATTTTTGTATCTATTGTGTGCATTAAGCATAGAAGGTTTCAGTATTGTCAGTGGCTCGACTGATCTTTGTCTTGGACGTGATCTCCAAAGAGCTGTTGGTGAGCGTAATGGTAACAAGATAGTTTTATTAATTTATTTGCAGCTTCATTCTTAGAAGTCTTATGAAAACTTGTCATGTTGTGGAGAGACAACTGAACTATTTGAACTGTTTAAAAAAAATGCAAACAAATAAACAAGTGACAAACAAACATATTGGACTTATAAGACTGATACCAGTATTGATATTTAAGAGTTACTACTGTATCGTCCTACACTGACCATGTGACACACATTGAAAAGGTCTCTGATTTTGTAGTAAATAATTGTATGTCATTACTGTTCCTAAACGGCATCAGTCACATATCTGTCGTACATCTGGACTGACATTTATTGTTGCTTATTGGCAAACATGTACACCTAATACTAATAATCTGATATCAGAGATACGTAGTAATATCAACTGATAAAATCAGTCCTGCCATTTTATCTAATAGGGTCTCCACAAGACCACACAAAAGCTTTGGCACTCACTAAAAAAGCAGGAGTGGATACATTTTCTTTGTTTTTTGTTGTTTTTTTTTTTTTTTTTTTTTACAAGTGGTCAAAACAAACAGTGATTGGAGTGTTTTTTTGCAGAAATATGTAGCTGTAGGGGAGCTGGGTAAAGCAACAGACACTCTTGATGCCACTGGCAGTGTGATTCTTGAGAAAGACTTTGGTAGGTATTATCATTCATTTCATACGGAAGTCTTATCTATTCATATAAGCCCCCGTTTCTGCCATTTGACAGTATGTCTGTGATGTTTTTATTACTATTTTTTTTTTAATCCATTTTTTTCACCGACAGAACACATTACTCGGCCGGATGTTGAGGCAAAACTGAAAGCTTTCACTGGCGACATCATGCAAGTGCCTCCACTGTGAGTATTCCTCCAAAAAAGAAAAGGAAGTGTTTCAGTGACAAGACTTATGCACATCAGGCTAAATTGTTGAAGGGTTTGACTTGCAGATCAAAATGAAGTTTTTAAAGCACAAAGTAATAATTCATTAAAATGGATGAGTGATCATAATGGACTACTGCTGCTGACTCCTCCAAGCCTATTTAAATACAACCTGTCTGATAAATTCATTAGACTCTGTCACAAACACTACAAAGGGAACGTCTAAGGAGCTCAGCAAGGTTCTCGAAAAGCAAATCTCTGACTTAAACAAGTCAGGAAAGTCACTTGGAGCCATTTCACATCATCTACAGATCCCAAAATCGACTGTGCAAACAATTGCTTGTGAGAAATAAAATGCATGCCACAGTTGTGTGACTGTCAAGATCAGGAAAAAACCACAAGCTGCTGCTGCTGCTGAGAGACAATTGGTCAGGATGCTCAAGAGTCAACCAAGAACCGCTAAAAAGCAGATCTGCAATGAATTAGAAGCTGCTGGAACGCAGATGCCAGTGTCCAAAGTCAAGCATGTTTTACATCACCATGAGCTGAGAAGTAGCCATGCCAGAGTGAAGCTCTTCTGGAAGGTAGAAGATTAGGCCTTTAACCCCAAGAACACCAAACCTACAGTCTAAACTGCAGATTTTTCCAGAGTGTTAGGGTTAACAAGTTTACTATCAGCATGCTGCTATTTTTTTTTTTTTTTACTCTGGTGCAATAAACCAAGTATCCTCTAGAGGTCACTAGCACAGAATTTTATCACATCCTCTGTGTTTGGGCTTTGCTGCAGTGGTCATGGCACATACTTAACACGACAGTCCTACATTGAGGGAGAGAGAAAAGCAACTGCATTACAGTATTACATGGATGGAATTTATATAAACACTGTCCTTAGTGCTGCCTCTCTTTTCAGTTTTAAAACTCTTATTTTCTGTATTATTTAATCCTATTAATTATTTCTTATTTTTTTTACATTTTGTTTTAGCTACTCAGCGCTGAAAAAAGACGGCCAGCGTCTGTCTGTTCTGCTGAAGAAAGGTCACAAGGTTGAGGCCAAACCAGCCAGGCCAGTCACCGTGTACAACCTGACCCTGCTGGAGTTTAAGCCTCCTCTCTTCACTCTGGGTTCGCACACATTGCATCATGCAGCATTTCTTTCTTCCTCTATACTGACTTCTTTAAAGCAGCATTTTGAATGTCATTTCCTGCCTTTTTTATTTTGTGCACATTTGAACAGCCAGTAAGGAGTTTTATTTGTGTGACAGATATTGAGTGTGGTGGTGGATTTTACGTCAGAAGCTTGGTGGATGACCTGGGAAAAGGTGAGCTTCATCCTGTTTCACAATTTCCTCAGGAGCATGTTGATGTCTGTAAACTGAACTTAGAAACCATGGCTCCAAACTTCAGCTTTAAAAACATCCAACATCTGTGTGCTGCAGCTCTGTCATCGTGCGCTCATGTGAAGGAGCTGACCAGAACAAAGCAGGGTCAGTTCACCCTGCAGGAGCATGCTTTACGTGAGGAGCAGTGGACACTGAAACACATCCTACAGTCACTGCAGTGCTGCTCAGAGGAAGAGCTGGGAGTGGACCAACCAAAACCACCAGAGACCGAAACCTGAGGAGCACCAGGACCCAGAGTCAAACAGAAGAGCTGGGATCGATGTTTGCCTGATTGTCAGCATGACTCACCTGCTCGACTTTTCACATCGAAATGTGTCCAATTCGTAAGGTGTGTTTGTTAGCAAGTCAAGTGTGACAAATTCAGACAAATGTCAGAAGCACGTGTTTTGGAGCTCAGTGGATCAGTGTAATGACTGGACTGATTCTGATCCAAAGTTTAAGTTTTGTAAATAATTATACATATGGGAATTGCAGCCCCAACTCCTCTCCAGTGATCTGCTTATCAGAAATCCTGCTCAAAAACTATATTCAGGATACTTACCATAGTTTCAAAGCAACACGGTATGGTTGTGGGGGAAAACTGACAATGCAGTCTGCAAAAAACCAAAAACATTTCATTTGGATTTATGTTGATGAGCTTTCTCATATTAGTTGATTATGAAAAAGAAGTATTGTGATTGAGACATTCTCTTCATTAAAGGGGTCTTGTTTGAAACAGTAGCAGTGATATTTTCTGTAACTGAGCTGGAAATTCATTTACAAAGCAGATAAATATATCAGCCAAAGTACCGGGAGACGCCGTGCCTATAAACCGCTCCCTGGAAATGCTCCCCTTTTATTGCTTTTCCAACATAGTATAATGGTCAACATTACATGTTTCTTTTGGACAAAAAATTATGAAACACGACTCACGTCAAAGTTTAAATATATTTCTCGAAAGTATTGTCAAATAGTTAAATAATTTAAACATATAATAAGTGAGCGCATATATTTTTCCCCCCTTCAAGCCAGTATTTTAGATTTATTACAAGGCACATTCACTGCTCTAGGATAATCTCCGTTTAATAACTGACTTTTAGCACAAGCTTTCTACACCTGTGTTGAACCAGGTGAGTCACTTCAGATCAGGTAAATACTCCTGCAATCATTTAGATTTTATATTTTTAATAACTTAATTACTTTGTGGAGAGCTGTTTGCTTTTAAATGAGAGTTTGTTTAGTTTTGTAAATTCTTGTCAAAAAAGGCAATTGACCATGATTCACTGTGGAAAAGCAGTAAAGGGGAAACTTTCAAAGGGTGTGAATACTTTTTATAGACGCTATTAGTTTATCTGCTGAAATGCAGCCCTTTTTTTTTTAAATAGCACCTTCAATAAAATATGCTGACTAGGGAATGGAAGAGATAACTGTCTCTGAAATGTGAATGCACAATGTGAATGTGCTTGACATTTGAGAGCGCGTAGCACCAGCAGTGCTGCACACACAGCATCCCTCTTTAATTTAAAAAAATAAAGATAAAATAAAAAATGGTGAAAAATAACATCTATATTTTGTTACCACATAGATTTGTATGCCATTAACACATCTGATGTAATGTATAAGAGTGGCTAACTTAAGACATTGTGTTTTTGTTTGTGGTATGTAAAATATTAGTAATTATTAGCACTTCTCATAATTCATGTATAGTTTTTCCTCCACTGAGGCAAAGTTGTGTTGGAGGGTTGTTTTCAGTTCAGTCTGTTGCACTGTCAGCAGGATTATGCAAACCCATGTTCATGAAATGTGGTGGAGAGGTGGAGCAAAGGAAGAAGCGTTAAGTTTTGGCGTAGGTTCAAACCACTTTTCTTAAAAATGTGACTCAGGGCATCGGTCATGGTGAAGGATGTGATCTCCGAGTGGAAAACGAGTTAGTCTTTCTTAGTAAAGCCACCTGTCATTTATGCTGCCCTGTCACATCGAGGTTATGTTTAAAGATTAGGATCTGAGCTACTTTGACAAGGATCAGATTATGTTGACTGGACGACTGAGTCATCCCCAAAACAGCAGGTCTTACTCATTTTTACTTAAACATTTGAAATGGTTTGTGGGAGGTCTCATGAGTTAACACAAAGTAAAAGTACCTGTGTGGGGCTGAAACTCAAGAGTATCTCATATTTATTACTAATAATAATATGCAATCAGGATTTTAACTTCTTATGACCCAGTTTATACTATGAGATGTGTCAGAAAGTCCCAGCTTCAGTAAGAAACAACAAGACGATGCTCCTCGGGAGAGGACCGTGAGGATGTGTGACTGGAACCGTTAATGGGGGGACGCATGGCGCCAGCTGCCAGGGAGCGGCTGCGAGAAGTTATCAGCAGTTTTTGGACAGGAGTCTGACGCCACGGGAAGCTGGCCGGATCAATGAGCTGCAATGATTGTCTCAGTCTAAATATTAGCCGTTTGCTGATTTCTTTCATGTCTTCAAGGCTGCTCATATCCCTGTTTGCTCTCCTAGTCCTCTTTATCTAAATTACAGCTGTTTGAAAGTTGGCGCGCCGTGGTGCTCTGAAGGCGCATCACAAAATCGAACCACTGGATTCTATTAATGTGCGCGTTTTTTGGAGAGAAGCTGAGACGTGTCTCACGACTATAGGAGAGCATTAATGAAGTGTACTGGTGATAAAGCAGAGGACGTGCAGCTGGAGCCATTAGAGGCTTTCCTGTCCGTGCTGTAACTCTGGAACACACAAGTTACCGGCTATTGTTTTGCGCCCTGCCCGTACCTATTTGAGGGGATGAACATGCACTTAGTGAGTCATTAAAGACATTTGCATTTATTGTCTTTATCAAAAGTAGCCTGTATCACCTCAGCGGCACTGACAGATGGATTTCCCAGGAAACCTCCAAATATTCAAATCGTGAGTTAATCACTCTCCATTCAGCGGAACCGTTGGGATGGTGGATTGCAGTTAAGCTGAATAACATTGGTAAAGATAACAGTCCGAGCTGTTTGATTAGTTAAAGAACTATGTAACACACATTTGGCCCGTGAGTAAAACCAAGACATGCTGCCCATGCTGCTTTTTACAGTATTTTAGGTCTGCGTTTCATCATGTGGAGGCCTATGAGAAGTAAATACAGGTTTGATCAGTTCTCCATCAGATTTTCTCCAAAGACAGAGCTCAGCACAGACAGTCGAACTGGAAGTCTGTCTGATACAAATAAGAAGTGATGATATAAAGTATATTCCAATAGGACCATTTCAATTAGGCCTATATTGATTTGATTTATTCAGTGCAAAACAATATGACAATAGAAAGTCTGTAACAGAAACTGAACAAAGCACAACCTGTTAATAAATACGACACATGACCAGGGCCTTTGGGATTTATTGAGGCAGCCTGAAACTGAACAGCAGAGGAATAATAAATGAAAATGAATAAAGCAGGTTAAGACCTGCGGTGTCAGGAGGCCTCTAAGCTGGAGCTTCTGAATGAAGTGTCACTTATATTTAAAAAGTCAAATAGTTCTTTCAGTCAGGTGTCCCGATCATAGACTGTATAAGTAAGATAGTTTTTGCTTCCTTTTTTTTTTTTGTTCCAAATTATTATTCTGAAACATTGGATATTAAGCTTCAGTTGATAATTTGATTTGAAATGCATCACTCACGTTATTTTGGTCCTTCTCTCCGAACACTGCGCCGGTCAGAAGCAGCAGCTGCCTCTGTGTTTGGTCGCATGTTGCTTTTGTTGCTTTTACCAACGTTACTGAATTCAAAAATCTGCTTCACAACATCTGTTGTTGCCCAGAGATTAGCTTGAAATATATTTAGAAAAACTCACATGAAAGGAAGCAATCGGAAATGTGGTTCCGTCCCTGATTGAAATAACTTTAATAACTAACAACTATTAACACGAAGAAACACTTTAACATTTGATTAATATATTCTTAAACTTGCATTGTCGCCCCATAGGGAGATCTTTTTCTTTTCTGTGTTCTTTGTTTTTTTCTTTTTACGTTTTTTTTTTTTTTTTTCTTTACAACGTCAGGAATCTTTACTTACACCAGTTGAAATGTGGACGTTGATCTTTATAAGATTTACCAACACAGTTCGCTCCGTACGTGTTAGAACGTGTCTTCTTTGGCTTTACGTGGTTTTCTTAAGTTGCCAAATTACCAGGTCAGAAATGCTCCATCTGCCGCCAACAAGCGGTCTAGTAGTAATGTAGGAGAAGAAGAAAAAGAGACACCGTCTGGTTACTCTGAGTTCAAACTATTTCTGTACATTTTGAAAAGACTGTCCTAATATCATTGTCATTGTTCCTGTATTCAAACTACAGATTTTTCGGTTTTCCAATGACCAGATGATTGGCTGTGTTGAAGTGATTCACCTGAAATACAGTTATCTCCTCTCTCCTGGCGTCTGATCGTCGTGTAGTGCGTTTGGAGCTTCGAGGGAGCCAATCAGAAACGGCTGCCGGCCACCTGCAGGAAGTTGGCCGTCCACTTATCTCCTCCCTCCTTCGCCTGCAGCCAGATAACAGCCCTAACAGTTGGATCAAGTACTAGCCAGTCACCACCGCAACCTGACGGACACCAGTGCACCCTAACGGTCTCCTCCGCCGCCCACAAAAAGTCACTGTTGGGGTTTTTGGAGTAGTTAATGCACAGATGTTAGCGCTGGAAGCTGTAGTACAAATTTGGTAGTATGTAAATAAGTTCTCGTGTGATATTGTCGTTAAAGAGGAAGGTTGTAGGGAGAGAGAGAGAGAGAGAGGGAGAGGGAGAGACGCAGCTTTCCGTTATTTCAGTTCCAGCGCGCCGCGGCGGCACAAAACACCATGAGCGTCCCGCTTTACGCACCGACCCCCATCCAGCCGGCACACCCGACTCCCTTCTACATCGAGGACATTCTGGGAAGGACAACCACCAACACCTCCTCTTCCTCCTCTTCTGCATCTTCATCCTCGTCCTGCTCCACTCCGGTCATCCCCACACCGACTCTCCCGTCGCCCAACTCCTCCTTTACCAGTCTGATCTCGCCATACCGGACGCCGATTTATGAACCCACGCCGATTCACCCGGCGCTGTCTCACCACGCCGCGTTGACGGCGACGTACGCCTCTGCCGGGGCTTTCACCGGTTCCATGTACCCGTTCCACCACCAACACCACCGCTCCATGGGGGAGTACGCACAGGCGCTGCTGAGGCACGACCACCTCGGTGAGTTGGTTTAACTGGCGTGCGTAATTGTCATGGATACATTAAATGTCACTCAGTGAGCAAACACAGTCTTGTTCTTTTGAATCAATGTAATTTACAGAATCACCAAAGACAGCCTGCAATCACGTTTCTTGTTTACTTATGTGGAAATTCTCTCGCTAAACGTACTTCCTCGGGTCTAGACTGTTGGCCTCATGACGCTGTCGGTCTCTTGTGTGATTCTGGAGTCAGGATACTTGAAAAATCGTTTCTAGAGCTTCATAATTTGCCAGTTGCCTTTTTTTTTTTTATCATTTGCTATTCCACATTAGATTATTTCCTACTTTTTTTAAACAATTGAAAAAGATTTTAAATCAACTTAAGAGACAAATGAATGAACTTGCTTGGATGATGTTGCAGCAGGAGCACTTTTTACTCATTGCATGAAAACTTTTCTGTCTGAACAAGCTTCGTTTCAGCGCCTATGAAACCGTTTTTGCATAAGTATCACGCTTTGTCATGCGTATCGAACTGAAGACAGTTCATCTGCAGTTGCATGCAGCACATAAACACGCTTCAGAGTACAAGACAGAGCATATGTTCCTTAAGCAAGTATTCAGCTCATCTCAGTCTCAAAGCACATTTCTGACCCAGCACGTATGAATCCCATTGTTATGGTGACAGACATATTTGGGGGCCACAATAGCAGCAGTCATATCCAGTCACTGTGCTGCTGGTGGGGGTGATTGGGAGGTACATGGCAACCTTGACTCGTTTTCCTGACTCCTATTGTTCTGAAACATCAGAGGAGCAAGTGGGCCAGTGACTAAAACTAACTCACTAAATCACTTGTTATTTCACCGCTCTCTCTCTCTCTCTCTCCCTCTCCCTCCCTCCCTCTGTGGGTGTATGTGTGTGTGTGTGTGCGTGTGTGTGATATGGATTTTAATTATGTTTGAGACTTGAGGACAGACCTTTGGAGTTTCTTCAGATCCTGCAGCGGGTCCATTATTACGCACCTGTGTTTTATATTCTGTGTAACATTCCACAGTTTCCAAACACATGTCGAGTTTATTCTTTTAGTAAATGCATAAAATGATGCATGGTACCAGACTCTAAGTTATTTTTAGCCTGGTGCAGCTTGTTTAAAAGTATGACTGATTGAAGACACTGTAAAATGAGGAGTCCGGTTTATGTCCAAGGTTGTGTTAATTGGTTTACATTCATTTGTTTTATAGGCCATTCGAACCAATTGTATACTGAGCCTGGCTTAGAGGCAGTGACTGATGGGCCTCTGAAGTATTGTGTGACAGTGTGACTGGGTCTGACTTTGTGCTGCTGAACAAGCCGGGCCCTTTTCCGTTCATAGCGGAAGCCGTGAGCCTGTCGATAGGAGTAAATCTGCTTTCAGAAGCTGTTAAATGTTTTCCTGTCTCACCCCGTCCAGCCGCTTCCTCGGGAGCCCGCTGCACGCTGCTGATTATTTTATCGACATCCTCAATACAGACATATTCAGGAAACACTCGGCCTCTGATAGCCGGGATCCGTTCTTCACATATTGTTGCACTTCCTCTGCCGAGGATGTGGTGACTTTCTGTATGGTTGGTGGCGAGAAGAAAAAAAAAAGCAAGCAGAGCAGCACATCAGCTCTGATGGGATCAGAGGAGAAACAGCCCGGTGTCATGGAAGGGCGAAAAAATTAAGGTTTCATTTTGAAAAACAAAAAGGCTTAAGCTATGGTCTCAGGTGGTGTGAAAAACATGAGCAAACTCTAGTTATTTGCGAATTTACCCCCTGAGCAGAGCAGAGTGTTTTATTTATGATCACACTGTCTCTCCATTTTTTTTAGTCTAATTAAAGTTCTGGTCTTAATTATATTTAGGAGGTTAAGACTGTACATTTAGATGTCTAAATGTAGATTGTCAACCTAATCCCTCTTTAATCTGTTAGTTAAACAGATAATTAAAACGAACAGCTGACAGTAACAAAACAACAAAACAAAGCTTGTATGTGTGTTATCTTATAAAAAAAAAAAAAAAAAACACCCCAAAGAGGCTTGATTTATACTGTTAAATTGAATTTCCTCATAACCATACCACCAAAGCATTTGTTTTTGCTTCCTCAGACCAGTAAAATGTTTTAAATGTTATCTGCTGATTATCGAGGCCTGTCTCGAGCGAGAGCTGAGCGGAGCCGCTGCGGTGCCGGGGGGCCTGGTGCCGGGGAATACCCGGGTTCCCCTCATATGTAAACTGAAACAGCATCAGGCTGAATAGCATGAATAGAAACAACTGCGGTCAAAGAACAGGTGTACACAAAGATAATTCATCTGTCTCGTATGGATTTTCAAGCTTTAAATGTTTTCTAAGCAATGTGGCTGCAAACACAGTTCACTCATAGACCAGCTGATATTAATGCTGTATGTTGGATGAACCGTCAGAATCTTCTTTGCGCCTTCTAGTCATATTTTCTTTATTGTTTTTGTAATCTCAGCTAAACATCAGCTACCAGTCGGTGACATTTGAGGATTAGAGAGTGTAGTGGAGCTACATCCTGACAACCACACACTACAGTCCATGTTTCTGATTATTCCTTGAATAAGGAGCCTAGATTTATACTAGCAGCCGGAATCCTTCCTTTGCGGATATTTTGTTTTGGAGAAACCTTTTAAATAGGATATAAAGGTGTTGACTCCCAGCCCAGCAGTGAGAATAGTGTGGCTGAGAGCAGAGGACAGAGTCGGACGATCCAGTTCTCTAATCACAGCTCAGAGCAGGAAGCACATGAAGCGGATATTTGGCCACAGTTTTCACTCTGTCACGACCTTCCTGAGAGCAGCAGCAGCAGCAGCAGCCGTGTTTGTTCCAGGAAAGAGCCGAGCAGACGCTCTCAGTCTCCTCAGCTCATTCTCAACAACATGTGCAGCATTTACTCTCCGGCATTCTTGTGCTGCTGGAGCCTCAGTGATCACAGTTACATGAACTTCACACGCACTTCATGTGATTATTAGTCCGAACCGTTTGCTCACTTCCCTGAGTCACTGTTTGAAATCCCAAACAACAAATGAGCCACTTCTCTGAGGCTGACAGCAGTCTCAGTGAGTCAGGCCAACACTGGGCAGCTTTATTAAAGCTGTTTGTGCTCTTTCTGAAGGGAAGCCTCTGCTGTGGACGCCCTTCATCCAGCGACCTCTGCACAAAAGGAAAGGCGGTCAGGTCCGCTTCTCCAACGACCAGACCATCGAGCTGGAGAAGAAGTTTGAGACCCAGAAATATCTGTCACCTCC